ATTGCTCTTTTCGATATATTGTTGATTTAGTCCATTTCTAGTTCAGTATTCTATATAGTGAGGAAAACAATGTTCAATTTTTAATTATTTAACAAATAAAACTTAATTCAAGGATATTTTCTTTTTTCTTTTGTTCATATCATTAGAAATTATTGGCTTGTTTTTTGTTACTTATCGACATATTTTTATCTGTCATTGGGCATATCCGTTAGATTCTCATGCGCATGTTATAATTATGTATGCATGTTCAAGCAGAAAATTTTCTTGCTTCCATTTATAAAAAAAAAAGTTTTTATATGAGAAAATAAATAATTGAGTATGATATTACTGATTTTAAAGAAAAATGTCCTGGATACTCATTCATTTCATAATTATTATAATAAATTAAAAAAACTAAAACATCCTTATATTAAATTTTCAATTGTAGTCATAATATTAATTGAATTAATTTTCTAAAAATATGAAAAATTTATTTATTATTCTAAAAGATAATTCAATGAAAAATAAATATATTCTATTAAGATAAAATAAGAAATATTTTCAACTAAGTTTTTCATAATAATATAATTTTTTATTGAAATGATGAAATAAAATTTCTTCAATTGTAAGAAATTCGAATGTCTATTTCCTCGATGAAAAAATAAAAGCATCGAACCGAAATGACATGCTTTATTTAACTTCGACATCTGTGGAAAAGACTATTAGTAGATTATAACAAAAAAACTTGTGCCTTTAAGCACGTTTATTATCTTTTAACAAATTAGTACACATTTACATCTCACATTTTTTTTCCAATTTTTAACGCTCAATAAAAGATTTCATCTAAATTGATTATTCACTTTTTGAGCATTATATTCAAGTCGATATGACCAATGATTAAGAGATTTCAATATCTTTTTATTACATCTGACAAAAAAACGGAAGAAAGACTATGAATATATATATATATATATATAGATTATTTATTAAGAAGTCTATTCATGTTTAGATAGTACTTGAAGTTATTGAGCTCGAATTGATTGGCTTCTTTCAATTTGTATTTGCCAATTAACTTTGTATTACCGAAGGTTTTTTTTTTTTTAACTTTCGCAGAACATCTCGACATTTGTTAGATCATCCTATAATTAACTGAAATGTAATGCGCTGTTGAATATTGTCATATGATAAAACATATCGAATAATAAATCTATACTAATAACATAAGATATACGGTAAAGAAAATATATTCTATAGAGACAAGTTATATCGAGTAATCATACTTGACAGATGAGATTTTTTGTTTCCTCATATTGCATGATGTGTCTATTCCTAGGTAAATCTTTTTTGAAATTCATCAAATTTGACTAAAGAAGAAAAAAAAAAAAGCTAAATCCTATCATAACCCTTTTTATGTCTTGATAAATTATTGTTCATCATCACTTTTATTATATTATTCATCCTTTTTTTATTATTATTATTATTTGATGGATCTATTCCTCAAGAGTCTTTTGATGTCTAAGATTTTCACGATCATTCACATGTGCATTTTTCAACTATCATCATTGTTATCTATTGAAAACATAGTAATATATTTGAAATAGAACAAGAAAAATGGAATATTCATGAATCGTCGCCTAATGATCTGTTCATTGTCAATGGTAACATTTTAAAAAAAGCAAGAAAGAAAGAGAAATTGTAAGAAAAAAATATTTCTTTTGACAAAGAATAAAACGGATGTTTTAGGAAACAATCAGTGTATTAGAAAGACGATAATATTGAGTCGCTCTTCTCCTTATTATTATTTAACATACTTAAGTTTTTTTTTTTTTTTTATAAATGAGTATTATTTTTCTATTAAATATTGATAGTCTATTAGGAAATGTTGTCAATCATGATTAATTCTGTATCCTATTTCGAAAATTTTCTCTGATTGATCATATATAATATATCCGGAATACCACCTACTTTTTCTCCTGTTAATAATAGCACAAAAAAAAATTATCTCGAAGAGAATAAGAGAAAGAGAATAAAAAAAGAGGCGGTGAAGATCTATAGTATCACTTAAGAGAAAAGACATTTTATATGTTAAATTTTAGATATATGAGAAAAACAAATCTTAATTTATATTATATTTATATTGATTTTCTTAATGACATACAATTCATCATTTATATTAAAAACAACTTGTCTTGAATCTGGTACTCGTGGTCCAGATGCACCTTTTTATCGTTGGTTAGCTCTTGGTTATGTTTTTCTCTTTATTCTTGCATTAACTGCTAATCTACGTGTACTCTTTAAATTATTTCATTATTCAAGACGTCGTTTTCGTGATCATATACTTTTATTAAATTTATGTGCTGCTGATTTATTTTTTACACTTGTTTATATTCCAAGTGAAATCTATGCATATACTGTTGGACGTTGGCATAATGATCAAATATGTAAAATAATAGCTGCATTAAAAGGTTTAGGAATTTATGTATCATCATGTACAATTATTGGTATATCACTTGATCGTTATCTATCAATTGTACATCCTTTAACTGTATATCAATCAAATACAAGAAATAAATTATTTGTTGTTGGTTCATGGTTTATTTCAGCTTTAGCTTGTATACCACAAGTAAGATTTACATTTTTGATTTTTTTTTTCTTTTTTAAAATTTTGTTTTTTTCGAAATAGTTAATTATATTTAAACGATTAACAAATGAAGTCTTATGTCGTGAAATGTGTGGCGATATATTATCAACTGATCCAGGAAAACGTATAGCTTATAATATTAGTGTTGCTATATTTGCTTATATAGCACCATTATTAACAATTTTTTATTCATATTTTCGTATATTATATGTATTACATAAACGATCAGATCGACGAACATTTCGATTTGTTAAATGTACGAGTAGTAAAAATCGATATGATACAAATCAAATAAATAGTTCATTAAGATCAAGTAGAAAAAATTTAAGTGGTGAAATATCTACTCATTGTGGACAATCATTAGTACAAGAAGAAATTAATTCACATAATATGAAAACAATAACACGAGCTAAATTCAAAACATTAAAATTGACTGTTCTTATTGGTAAAAAAAAAAAACAAAAAGATTCTAAATTATGTTCTTCTCTTTATTTTAGTTATTTGTTTTATTCTCTGTTGGACACCATATTATTGTATTGTCTTTTTTATACTTATAACTGATGCTAGAATTGATTATGAAAATGCTAAAACTACTTTAATAGATACATCAATTATTGATCAATCAACACATAATGAACGTTCACTTTTAATTGTTATGATGCTTGCTGTATCGAATTCTGTTTTAGATCCATTAATATATGGTAATTTTCACCCGATATCATATTGAGTTTTATTGTTCTTATTTTAATTTTAACTTTTTTTGTTTTCTTCAAAGGTTGTTTTATGGTAAAACCAATTAAATCAAGTTGTTGTAATCGATTAAGAACTCGAACTGAAAGAACAACATTTAGACGTAATGGAAATCCTTTAACAGCTGATAAAGAATCAAAATTAACAATGAGCAAAACGAATATAAAACTTGACAACCATCAACAACATGTTGCTGCTGCTGCTGCTGTTGAATGTCAACTTTAAAAATAAAACAAAAACATACTCGGATGTTGTTTATTTTCTGTCTATATATATATGTTGTTTTTCTTTTTATAATCGTACAAACGAAAAAAAAAATCGAATGGATTATGATGAATCTGTTTACTAGAAAAACACAGTATTATTAATTATTCATAGGCATCTCTCTAATATCTTCTATCAATCATAGACTAGACAAATACCAACATTAAACCAATATATATATACGTATATGTAACAGTTCAGTGATCTATATAAACATTTATATGAAAATGAACAAATGATCATGAATTCAATGGGTTTTATTTTTTTGTATTAACATCTACGAGATTTATTTAACCGAATTTTAGAAGAATAAAATTGTTCATATGAAACATTCAGATTGTTTAAAAAAAGACATAAATGTCGATCGATAATAGATATCATTCAGAAAAAAATATAGATTATGCCAACTAACGGGTGTCCCATAGTAAATGATCAGTTTTTGTTTTGCTTTTTTTTTTATCATCTAGATGTACTAGACGATGAAAAAAACAGAAATACAAAAGCCGACTATTTACTAGGGGGATCAAAAAGTTCTGAGAATTTTTAAAAGGATGATGTCGGGTTTGGTAACCTATCCAGAATTAAAAAACCAAACACACCATGTAGTAGAGCAAGTCGAAGCGCTTCGAATGGTATATAAAAAAATCTCATTTTCATAAGATTTTCAGGAAACCAAACTGGATTTACTGGTAGGCGACTATCGAGTCAAATCACTGACCATTGTGAGCCTTGGTATCAGTTGAAAGTGTTTGTAAAAAGAATTTTCCTATATATAGTTTTGTAGCACTTTTCACGGGCTACAAGCTCGTATACTCAGCATCTCCGATCGTCCTCTCTTTGATAGGAAAAAATGCGACTTTTCAATGATCCACCATCGTTTTCTACGGGTAGTAGCTCTTGGTGAGTTTTTGAACCCATGTGGACTTGTTATGTAATCCCACAATAAATAAGATATTCGATAGTTCAAATAAAAAAAAATCTCTAAATAAACTCCTTGTTATGTTCATCAAATTAGATAAGAACTTTTTTTTTTCAAATGTTAATTAGCATTATTTAAAACGAGGTCTTTATCAAAGACATATAAGATTTAATTAAGAAAAGAAAAAACATGTGAAACTTTAATTGAGCGAATATATCTCCAGCAAAAAACTAATCATGTCTAAGTTTATTGACGTTTGGTCTATTTCGTCTTATAAGTGAATATGTTTATCAATAAAATTAATATAATATGAAGAACTTTTGTTTTTTTTTCTTTATTTGTATTTCAATCAATTAACAACCAGAATAGAAAAAAAAAACTTCAAGAAAAACTAATTAGAGAAATAAACAAGAATAAATAAATAAATAAATAATATCTAAATTCCAATTAACCATAATATTCTGTTTGATGTTGATAATAATTCATATTTTGAAAAACAAATGGACAATTATAATTACCTATATTATATGGTAAATTATCAACAGAAGGAATTGATGATTGATATGGATAACTGTAAACAAAAAAAGAAAAAGAAACATATTCTTAGATTTACGATAAAATAATAATTCATTTTCAATAACCGAAAATTTTCCCATATGGAATTGTGAAATGTTGAATGATTATTTGAAAAATAACAAGGAGATGATGACATTGACGAAGATATACAATTATTTACTGGTACATTAACATATGGATTCACTGGAGAAATTGTTGAAGAAGCACATGATCCATCTTCATCCTATATTAATTTATTAAGATTTCGTTGTTTTTTTTATAAATAAATAAACAAAGATTTTCATTTGATTAAATTCATTTTTAATAATATTATTATTATATAAAGCTTAAAAATTTTCAATAAATGATCTTTATTTAAACGATTATTTGAATAATTTCAAATTAAAAAAAAACAATCGTTTATTTGCTTAAAGAAAAAGTTCATTTATCGATATATTCTTAAATATTTATAAATAATAATATAATTAAATATGATATGAATCATATGAAAATCTTCTTTTTGTTTTGTCATACTAGATGAAATCCACTATAAGATTGTCGTTGATTATCTCTTTCCAATGGTTGATGATTATCAAGTTTTAATTGATTTTTTTTTAAACGTGCTCGACGATTTTGAAACCAAACCTTAATTATAATATATATATATATCGTATTGTAACTAAAAATAAATAGTACTAACTGTTATTTTTTGTGTAGGTAAATCAAGTTGTTGAACAAGATGATCAATCATATCGATTGTTGGATAATGATGTTGTTCAAATGTTGTTTCAAGTGCATCCAACTATATCATTTTTTTAATTTAAAAAGCATTAAAAACAAAAAAAAAACAAGAGAATTCTATTAATACCTGTTCTTGACTGAATTTAATTCTTGCTCGTTTTTTATAAATTATTGGCATTGATATATCATTATTTTCATCTTGTTCATGTTCAACATTTGATGATGCATTTGTAACATCACTTGTTTCTTCAACTATTTCATATTTATCATTATTTAACAATAACAAAAAAAAGGTATATATATATATAGGTCTTACAATTCGTTCCATATTGAAATGTTAATCCATTAGTAATATGTTGTTTCATCATTTGTGAGAATATATTTTCTTGAGTATCTATTGATGAATTATTACTATTATGATCAGGTTCATCCATACGAGTCAACAATAACAATATGGTTTAAACATCAGTCGAAACAAGTATATATATATGTATACTTATTTTAGTCATTTCTTTATGTTTTCTTATTCTATGATTCAATCGATATAAATAAACAAAAAAAAAACAATAATCGACATTTTCGTCTGGTCTATTTTATTGTTGAGAATTGTTTTAACGAATGAACTATTAAGTTAGCGTTTCGATTATTATCATATATTGAATTAATAATTGTTGACATATCATTATATTCTGTTTTTTTTTTGATTACGAAATAAATCAGATGAACAAATATTCATGATAATATAGTCACAGATTACAGAATAGTTTAAGATTGTTTTCATTAGTCTATTAGATTTTTATCGATTATTTATGTAAAACTATATCAATAGATCGTATTAGACAAGTTATTTTTAATGTCGTTAATTGTTGTGATAGTAATATCAGCACATATTGATCTTATTATCGATGTTAAGAGTTTATAACATGATTATATTATTCTTTTAAATCATGAAGATTTTTAATATTTGACAAATTTTTTCATTTATAAAACATTTTCGAACTATCTATACTGATCATTTTACTTACGAAAAAAAGAACTAACAATTGAGTTATGACGTTTGTCAGTATAAATTATCGAATCACTCTTATAAATTTTTATTTATTTCAATATGATCAAGTTAAAATAATTCATAATATACAATAGATAAGAAAATATTCTGTCTTTCATTTTAATAATTGTATATTCACTCTACAATATAGTGTCATTCATCAATGGTTAACATCGTCGATCATATTAATTAGCAATAATTCATAGTTAGTTTTATTTGTAGATGCTTATAAAAGAAAATTCAATAATCAATTAACTAAACATAAACTTCTATGGTTAAAATAATCGTCATTTGTATTTGATTGGAAAAGATAAATAATTCAAATAAAATTATATTATTCAAGACTAAAACATTTTTGTAAACAAGAATATAATATAGAATAACAATTTATTTCGAAAAAAAGAAACCATTCCGGTAACCTATTTAATGAGTAAAAAAACAGCCAACACTTCAATATTAAAGTTTCCTCAAATATTTTCAAATCTATTCTTCATTCTTATACGAATCATCTATAGTTATTTATTGTTTATTTAATGAATAAATTAAGTTTTATCATTATATATATATATATATATTATGATCACTCACAAATGACAGTTTAATATGATTATCATCTCTCTAGTTTTACTACGTTCATAATTAAGTTTTTCTTTTTTTGCGTTAATTATTTATAAGACTTTTCACATAAACAATAACTAGACGTAGAATATAAATAGCTTTAAAGATTATATTAAACTTCATAATTATAGAATGAATATTGTAAGTGAGATTAAATATTTATCATAATAATGAATATGAAATAGTTGATATGTTTTATTTAAAAAAAACTATCTCTTTGTTTTTTTTTTGTTTGTGTCTGACAATAACCAAATAGAACAAGTTTATTTTAGCCTATAAGACGGACAAATATAATGATTTGATCATTGAAAATGAATTAACGTCCACGACCGCCGCCACCACCACCACCAGGACCTCCTCGACCACGTCCACGACCACGACCTCGTCCACGTCCACCTCTACCACCCATACCAACTGGACCTAAACAAATATATATATATATATAGATTAACAGAATTATATCGATTTAAATATTAACCAGGTCTTTCACGTTTAGCTTTAGCTTTTGGTGTATCATCAACAAGTAATGTATCTAATGGAAGACTATCCGGTAATATAAAATATCGAATATTGTTGCCTAAATGAAAACAAAAAAGCATTTTTTTTTCTTCTTCCATTAATTATTCATTTTGTATGTTTTCTTTTATAAAAACAAACCTCGAATAGTAATAAAATCTAATGAAATAGGTTCACCATTTTTTGGTGTTAATTTAGCCGATTTCAAATGTGTATTCATTGACATATCAACACCAATAACTGTACCAAATACATTTGAACCATTTTTAAGTGCTATTGTTACACTTTCATGAGTTAATTTCATAAGAAAACGAACAAGTTTCATTTTATCGAACGAATTTACCAATAAATCTTTGTCAAAGAAAAAACACAACTAAAGTCTATTCTATCAATCGATACATTTTAACTAATCAGATTCGATTTCTTATTTTCTACCTACCCTCTATTTTAAAGAAAAAAAATAAAGCGGCATCTAGAAAATCAAAAACAATTTTGTCAGTCGCTTTCCTTAATGATTGACTGACATCATCGAAAATATGTATTACACTTGCAATTAACTCTAAATATAAATTAAATATCTAAGAAATAAATTGACATATTAAAGCAATTCTTTTTCATCAAATAAATTTTGTTGTTATCTGATATTTCTTTATAATTATATTTAAAAATTAAAAATCGATCTTTAATATAGTATAATTTTATAATCAAGATCAGTTAATATATTACAATCTTGAGAATTTTTTTTTTCTAATTATGGCATTGTTATAGTCTAATTCGCTTTTGTTTTTTAATAGTCAGACTGTAAATATTATTTTAAATTTCAAATGAAATAGAAAAAAAGAAAAAAGAAACCCCTCACAAACATTAGAAAAACTGAGTTTCAAATTTTGATTTGAAACTTTGTATAGAGGAAGATCTTAATGAGAATAGTTTATTGTGAAATTTTCAGATCTTTTGCTTGGTCCTAGTCTGAAATAAGAACATCGGAATCCGCCAGTGTATATGAACGATGTACAAGCATGCTTTTACCATAGTTGTGTCTTAAGATAGGAATAAGCAAAAGATCTGAAATTTGCACAAGAACTCTATTCTTATTGAGACCTTTCTCTATGCAAAGTTTCAAGTCAAAATTCGAAACTCAGATTTTCTAATGTTTCTGAGGAGGGGGACCACGATTTTCTATTTAAAAATGCCGTGAAAATGCAATATCTTGGCAGCAATAAGCTAGCAGCATGAACCCTTTTTAGAGTATTCATAGTTTATTAGGATCTACATTATGTACATACTCTCGACTTGAAAATGATTTGACAATTGGACAAATTCCCTCGTTAGATCTGTAAGAATCGAATAAAACTGGCCGATTATTTCGATTATTACTAATCGGTTAACGAATAGTTGTTTGTATCTATTAACTTTCTTAAAGACGGATATCTCATTATATTTCAATATATAGCGCAAAAAAAAACAAGTCATTTATCCATCAAATTATTGCACAATTCAAAAAATATTCAATTTTCTCATTCAGTCTTGCTCGTTGAATAACTATCCAAACCTATATTTAATTTTAATAAAAATAAATAGAATTTTAGTTTGAAGTAACACAATTTTTCATTGTAATTTTTCTAAAACTAAAATAAACTTCGATTAAAGAAATAAAGTAAAATGCAGAAGAAGAATATAGAAATATTGACGACATATTTTTGTAATAATATTAACAAAGAAAAGAGTGATGATATGATAAAAGAAATTTTTTTATTATATATCAATTCAATAATTGATATCTTCTTTAATGACATACATTCACTCATACGTACACATACATCTACACAACATTATATCTTGTTATTACTTCTACATATAAATAGAAAAATAGTTTAGAATTGATTATAGAATAATTTAATTAAGTTAAAATAAAACAAATTCTCTTATATAAATGATAAAATGTTTTTATTAGAATTAATCAATGAAAATTTGAGATTTTATTGATTCATTTTTTGAATATGATTATTTTCTTGTTCCATACGTATAGTAGATTTGTTAATATGATGATGAATATGATGAAGTGTATGATTTTGTCCAATTAATTGATCATTAATATGTTGAGCTTCATCTTTTAAACGACATATTATTTTTTCAATATCATTAAGTCTATCATCAATATCTTTATCAATAATAATAGTTTCTGATGAATTAATCTTATTTTGAATTTCTTTTGAAGATGATTCTCTCTAATATAAGCAACAAAAAATTTTTAGAAATTATTTAGATTTAAAATAAAATATTTGAATTTACTCTTGATCGTAATATTGGTTGTTTTATTGAATTGAATATAATATTTGAAGAAATATTTCGATGAAATATAAAACGAAATCTATTCAATATTCTTTGTGTTATACCTTTTAAACGATAAATATGTTGTTTTGTATGAATAAGTGTTTGATCAATTGATGAAAGATGTAAATTAATATTTTCTAATTGTTGATCTTGATCATCTAATCTTGTTATTGTTTGTATAGCTAAATTTTCACTATCAAGACATAAATATTTCATTTGATTTGTTCTTTCAACTATATCTACTTTTAATTCTTCTTCCATAGTTTAATCACTATTTAGATGATATAATGTCCTTACAATTATTTTAACTTTTATATTAGAAAAAGTAAAGTTTATTCTCATTGACATATGTACCCTATTTCATTATGCAAATAGAAGAACAAAAAAGAATTTTTTTTTTTTTTTTTTTTATTATAAATGATCAAATAAGAGAATAATCTATTATGATTATATATATCAATGACGTAGTTATTTAAGAAAAATCCATCATTTATTATATTTTGTTTTACCTACAATAATTTATCTATGTACTAAATGATTTAGTTTTAGAATCTTATTAAGTCTATTTATGAAATATTTTAATAACTAGATAAATGTCAAACGTTTTAATGAACAATCAAAAAAAAAAACAATAGATCTAATAAGGGTATTTTTTCAATCTGATATCATTATTCATATGTTGTTAATTAAATAAAAATTCTTTTATAAGTTAGCTTATACAATGTTTATCTTCTTTCGATTTTTATTATCGTTCATCAAATGAAAATAAGTCTCGAGACAAACTAAACAATTGAGTCGGAGTTTTTCATCCATATTTATTAAAGAGTTTATTCATATATAGAAGTGTTTTTTTGATGTTAAGATTTTTTTTTATTAAACAAGAAAATATATATAACTGATGATGATTTATTGTATGAATAACTACTGATATGTCACTTAAAAAGAAAAAAGACAAAATAATTTTTCCAGAAATAGAAAGTGAGAATGTAAGAAATCTTTCTGCGTCATAGCTAAATATGTCATTTGTTAAAAAAGAGTAATATTGACTTTTTTCCTATTTACTATTTTGCACACTCTTTATCGTGTTATGTCAAACTAAAAGTAAATCACATCTAATGACGACGATTAATATATAAATACTATGATTGATATCGATATTAGTATATTATAATTAATATTAAGATTGACTAAGAATAAAAATTTTATTTAATAAAGATTAAAATAAATTTAAACATTGAAGAAACAAAATAAATATGAATATATTTATCTTAAATTAAATATCATTGAATTTATTGAAATTTTTTATTTTTTTTCTTATTTTCATTATTTATTCTACTATTTATTTTGATATTGAATCATAATCAAACATTTGTAAATTCTATCGAATAATTTACTTTGTTTTTATGATAATCATTATATTTAATCAATAAATAGTATTATTTTAGAAAAATAATTATTTACATTCATATTATAAATTCATCTATATTTCATTTCAAATTCTAATATTATTTATCATTTATTTAAATAATAACTTAATCTATTTATAAGATTTTCATCAATTAAAAACCCAAATATATATAATGATATCAAATCGATATAAAAAAAAAATTTAATATCGAGATGTTTGATATTTAGAAAAACTATGTGAAAGTATAAGATTGATTTCTTTTTTCGGTTGTTTTTAATATCTAAATAAAATTCAAAAAAAAATCGAAACAAATTCATCTTCTTTTTTTTCTTTTTTTACATAAGAATGTAAAAAAAAGAGGCTAAAGAATACGAAGGATTGATCAATAAATAACAAAATCATCAATGTGTAACGAATGAGCACGTATGCATCGTACTTTCGAATAAAAAATCTAATCCATCTTAAACATATATTTAGTTGAAACATAACTAAAAACGAACATTTTCTTTTTTTTTTTTTTCTTCTTAACAAACATATTGTAATATTTGATCATAACCAAATAAAAAGAAAAAGATTATTTTAGAAATAAGAAAACAATAAATAAATAAATAATGGAAGATAATTATTATTATCATAATCATCATCATGGTCATGAAACAAACAATCGAAACGAAGGACATGACAAGCAAGAAACATATTGTAAGGCCACAAAACTTACTTGATATATCAATAATAATAAAAAAAAAAAAAAAATACCGAAATTTTTCAATTATAGCTTACGCTGAATTAGATTCGATTGATCGTTTTTCTATTCAACATTATCCACAAGACGAGACTAATTCAAGAACAAGTCAAACTATAACACAATCAACTGCAATACCTATTCTTGTACCAAAACAAAATTCTAACACATTCGGAGGTGTTCAAACAACAGCATCACTTCATTCTTTTTCAAGTATTGATTCATCAGCTGAAATGGCAAAATATTTTCCTGATGCTCAAACACCGAGTTTATCACCATTTAGGTTTTTGTTCAATTAGTTTTTCTTTTTATCATTTTTATTTATTTTATTCAATTAAATAGACATCATCAAGAAGATTTCAATCAACCGATACTAACAACAACAACAATGACAACACAAGCTCTTAATGATATAAATGGTCCTTATGGAATTTCATCAGCTCCTAACACAGCTCAACAAACATTTGCTCAGCCAATAAGAGCAACAAATAGTGTAGAACAGCCAGTTCGATCAACAACTGAACCGAAAATTTTATCAGGTATTCCATCTTATCCATCACAAATAGCAGGTTTATCTATTTCACAAGCTATTGTTAATGATATTATTGTTGATCTTCAAACAAAAGTTATCAATGAATCTCAACAACAATATTATTCAGATTCATCAACTGAAAATTTTCTTGGTGAATTATTTTTTTCTTTGTTTGTTTTCTTTTCTTTTATTCAAATTTTTCAGATCAAATATCTCCGATTTATATTCGAGCACCAAATCCAACTATTATTCTTCGATCTGATCTTCCTCGTCTTCGTGATTCACTCATTGCTCAACGAACAGGTTACATTTAAATAATAAACATATTTTTTATTAAGAAAAAAAAAAAATAAAAAATCTTTTTTTTTTCTTTATTCATAGTCTTTAATGGTCCTGGTCAAGGTAAAAATCAATTTAAACAAAATACATTTCAACCACCTAGATTTCCACCACCTAGACAACAACATTTTTCAACAGGTATCGAATCATTTAAATACGAATTAATTATCGAGTTCTTTTTTTTTTAAGAAAACTACGGACCATATAGAAATACAACATACGAAAATCAATAAACCAACATTGACAATTACTCATAATTCAAACATAATACTTCGAATATATTCTTCTAGTTTTATTTCTTTTTTTGTTGCTAGATTTATATGTCATTATGCTCTATTATTTACATAAAATAAATTAGTATTCTACACACAAGAAAGATAGTTTTGTACAGAAGGATAAACCTTGATATACAAAGAAAAAGTTTTTTTTTATTTATAATAATAAATCCTTGGGTTAAGTCAATTTATTTTTGTTCAGTCGTTGATATCAGACGATATCGACATTTCAAGAACATACATATTAAACACAAAACAAAAAAGATTTTATATATATATATATATAGTTTCTATCATTGATGCTCAATGTCGATTATATCAATAACAATAACAATCGTTAAAAAAAAAAGTCATTTTCAAGGATTAACCAACGCATCAATTCATCGTTATATACTACCAACATCAGTTTATTTGTTTTTAGTCTTTTATATAGAACATTGATAATAAATAGAGAAACATCGTAAGAAAATTTCTATTCACTAGTTCTTTTTGATTCTATTGAAAATTAAAACATTATATTCAGTTCAAACATGTTTTCAAGACCTATTCGTCAAGAACAAGAAGAAGAACTACCAGATGAATTAGATATTTGCATGACTCGATGTCTTCAAGCTCGTCGTCGTCAAGCACTTCAACGACGACGTGCTCAACGACCAACATATCAACCATCGGTTTATACTCAACAATATCAAAATTTACCAGTTCAATCAACATTACCATTATCACATCATTTATCACCATATAATACACCAATTCAAACAACACACACAACTTTTCCAATAGAAGCATCTCAACAACCTACATTACAATATTCTAATTTAGATCAATTAACAACATTACCAAATCAGATTCCGCATCAAATATATAATTCATATAAACCAATATATCATTATCAACCAAAGAAATATCAATACATAACTCCTAATTACAATTATATTAATCAACAACCAATTATTTATGATCAATACAATAAATCTCAATATATTTATAATAAACCATCCGAACAAATTATATATAATCAACCAGATACTCAATATCAACCAAGTATATCTCAATTGTATGATACTGATATTAACAATCGACAGTTATCTTATTCTTCTATACCAACTAATACATTTAACTATAAACAACAAAAACCACATTCTTATAAAACATATCCATTAAATCAATACGATATCACTTCAGATTTATCAAGTATAAATTATTCAACTGATCAAACATTTATTCCTAACAACTATTCTACACCAAAAACAACTGAAACATATCATCAAAACATTTATAATTATGATCACATTATTCCACAACAACCACCATCAATACAATCATATCAAATTAATCAACAACCTATTATTCAACCATATTTATCTCCATCTATCACTCAACATTTACAACAAGAACAATACGAATATACTCCAACAGGTTTTACGACACAACCTTCCACTTCAATAATACCATTAGAATCTTTAACACAAAAAACATTAAACAGTTGTCCTTGCAGTCAAGATGATTTGGAAAACGACGATACATTTGATTTATCTAAATGTATTGCTAATTGTTATGACAAATTTAGAAAGTCATGGATAAAAAAACAACAAAAAATTTATAAAAAACAATTTCAGGATATTCAACAACCCTATCGACAACATCATATTCAAGCATTACAACCATCTGTATCAACATCGATTCCACCTATTATTCAAAAACAAAGACCATCATCAGTTCCTCCTGTTCTTCAACGACCATCTATAAAAACAACAAATCAACAAGTTATACCAACATATATTCCATCTGCTATTCAACCATCAATATCATCATATA